AACTGGAGAGGATCTGCAAGGAGGAATGGCAGAGGATCCCCAAATGCAGGTGTGAAAAACTTGTTGCATCATTCCCAAAAAGACTCATGGCTGTATTAGCTCAAAAGGGTGCTTCTACTAAATACTGAGCAAAGGGTCTGAATACTTATGACCATGTGATATTTCAGTTTTTCTTTTTTAATAAATCTGCAAAAATGTCAAACATTCTGTGTTTTTCTGTCAATATGGGGTGTTGTGTGTACATTAATGAGGAAAAAATGAACTTAAATGATTTTAGCATATGGCTGCAATATAACAAAGAGGGGAAAATTTAAGGGGGTCTGAATACTTTCCGTACCCACTGTATATATTCCTCAGACACCAAGGTAAAAATCAGATGCTCCAGGTGAGGCTCGAACTCACAACCTCAGCATTGCTCTCAGTGTTACTGTCTTATAAGTACTGTGCGCTGACCAATTGCACCACTGGAGATTGATGCTACTGTTATTGAAAGCACCTAACAAATGAGGAAGATGTCTTTGGCTACTATTAAGGATTGAAATAGCATTTTTATCAAAGATGAATAGAAATGAAGTTTCTCCACAAGTTACTTAACCACATGTTGACTTCCAGAAATGATCTGTGTACTACTTTTTGCAGATGCCTGAGTGTGTGATTGCGCCTGTGACCACTTGGTTGATGTTTGAGCTACATGCAACACCGGCTGTTTGTGTATTCCTTATTATCCTGTGACTCTTCAGTAAAGGACTATACAAAAATGATTATTGGAGGAGGCTGAACTGTGTGATTTAAAAAACAGTGAAAGTGAAAGCAGTAAAATCACACTGTATCTCCTCTACATACTATATGTGTATACACCACACAGAGCAGAAAGGCAGACACTATGCAAAACAACAGTTTCTTAAACAGAGAAACAGGGTTGTCTCAGTGGCAGTCTTGCTGTAAAACCTGTAAATGCACACAATAAATTGGATGATAAATCTGTGTATAAATTGTGTGTTTTAAAGACCATTTGCAAATATACACAATGCTGTATGTGCACAATTTACACAAAAAACTGTGAAAAATGCACTGAAAGCTCTGTGATGTGTTTTTTTCCTCCAATGTCCTCAAGTGAATCCTAGGAAATCATTTCAGCTGTTGTGGCAGCATCCCTATAGATAAACAAGATGATGGCTGTGCTTCTTTATTTACTTCCAATGGTAAATACTGATGATTTTCAACCTAATAAACTGTTTGCAAGTCATGCTACCACCTCAGCAGATTTAAATGGAAACACAAATGATTTATTTCTGATGCCATAATGCAGGCTGTGTTTTTTCAGGTAGTCCCAACAACACCAAAAGTGAGAATATATCCTTACCACACCCTGAAACACCTGGTCAGACTTGTATAGCACCCAAGCTATACAACCACATACATAGTCTTTTGTAGTGAGCTGATGCCGTGTGCTCATCTGAAGACCACATTGTTGCACTGACTGAACGCTGCAGTGAGTGGTGGGTGATTGAGAGATGGTGTGCAATGACAATATAAAGAGCCAGGTGGCTGAGGGAACAGGATACCGATCCTGCGGGGGAGACTGTCTCAGAAGGAATAAGCCACAAGTGCAGCACCACCCACCTGTGCTGAATGAGCTTCCTGACAGAGAGCGTGTGCAGCATTTCTAAAAGGACAATGTGACACTGGTACACTGAAGATAAATGTGTGACAGTATGTCTTCCACATGCACATTTAGCAGATATTCAGAGCAATCACAATAGGCATTTGCAGCACAATAGCTGAAATTACAGTTAATGCCTCAGTTTAATTACTTACTGTATGCAAAGAACTGGAAAGTACCTAACTCTCTCCTCTCCAGGCCATGTGTAATTTCACGTACAATGGAACTTTAGATATTGAAGTTATGTAGAGGAAACATGGGGAGAACCATACACATATTTCTAATTAAATAGAACTTAAATTAAATTACTTATTTCTTAATGCATGAACATCTGGGCTGTTAAAGATTACATTACTATCCCTGGGGATGTGTGAGATTTATCTTAGGCCTGAA